AATTTTTTAATATTTATTTATTTTTAGTTTTCGGTGGACACAACCTCTTTATTTTATTTTTATGTGGTGCTGAGGACCGAACCCAACGCCCTGCACATTCCAGGCAAGCGCGCTACCACTTGAGCCACATCCCCAGCCCTGATGAGGTTTAACTTTTAAGCACAGTGAGAGATTAATAATAATAACATAATAAAATAGAACAATTAGAGTGATATACTGTAATAAAAGTTAAATTATTGTGTTTATGTGTGTTCTTGCTCTTAATTTCTCACCTCTTCTCTCTCCCTCCCTCCATCTCTCTCACATACTTTTAAAGTGTTAATCTTACAATCTCAGCATACATTTTTTTCTTGTTAAGAATTTTTAACTTTTTATTAAAAGAAAGAACTTTATAGATTTTTTTTTTTAGTATATCTGAATTGCCAGCATCACTACTTTAGTGCTTTTAGGCTTTTATTAAGTAAAATAAGGGTTACATGAATACAAACAATACTGGAACAATTGATCTAGTAACAGTCAAGATAGCTGCAAAATGACTAGCAGATGGGTAGCATATACAGTGTGGATACACTGATCAAAGGGATGATTCATAGCTTGGGCAAGAAGAAGTGAGATTTTATCACACTACTCAGAATAGTATGAAACTTAAAAATTTATTAATTATTTCTGGTATTTTCCATTTAATATTTTCAGACTGAGTATAACTGAAACTATGGGAAACAAAATTATAGATATGGAGAGAATAGTATTCTTTTGAAATAAATTTACTTAGATATAGTCATTCAGCAACCCAACAAATGAGAATACTTTTGCTTAGCAGAAAATACAGTTGATGGAAATTTAAGTGACCCCCAGTAGTCACTTTAAAGTGTCAAAATATTAATCAAGGCATACTTAGATGAAATGCTTTATACCCAATACTTTTTAACTAAGAGAATTGGAAATTTTATCTCACCCAACCTAAATTAATAGATAGGAAGACCTAAACATCACTGGTAAGTTCTCAGAAAGGGAGAAATGTAGGTAGTTTCCACACTGTCAGAGGGAATCTGTTCTCTCGTGCTGCAACTAGAAAGCTATTTCTGTCATAAACATAGTTATTTTAATGGAGGCGTTTCTTTTCTATATATTTTGCATCATGGATTTGACTTTGCTTTAGTTTGTTCTTGTCCCAACCCCACTAATAGGATGTGGGTCCAGCAGCTTGCATTTCTCTCCTAAATCACATAGAACTTCTGCTTCTATTCCTTTCCTTCCTCCCTTTAACTACATATAAGGAGAGCTATCATTATTTTTATCTTTTAGCTAGAGAGGAGTAAGGTGATCGGAGCTAACTTGGTTTGTATGTCCTAGGATGGGCCTCCAGGGAGCTCGTCTCTAGACCCCTCTCTCTTTCTGCCATTGCTCACTGCTATTGCCAGCCCCTGTGGTTCTCCTGCTCCCTTGTTGGGGTACAGTTTTCTCCATTGGCAGCTCTTGTTGAAACTGTTGATCACTGCCTAGCAGCCGTATGTTCATATCCATGCTGTACATGCTCCCCATCTGCTAGTCACTTAGTATGTTTAAGTGCACTAAGCCATTTCTGGTGTAGTACACTTGAAGAAAAGTTTTTTTTAATCTTTATCTTAGCTCTCCAAAGTCTTCACATCAACAGTTTCTATACACTGTATATACCTTCATATACATGTTTGTTGTATACGTGGTTGTTTCATATGTTTGTTATTTATAGACAAAATATTAACCTCCATCCAGGGAGTACACTCAAGGAAATTCTAATGGTTGCTCCTTACCTGGTTCAGATACCTTAAATTCTCAGTGCACCATTTCTGATTGAGTCCATGAACGTGACCATCCATTTCTCCTCACAAAATAATTCACCTCATCAGCCACATAAAAGATTACAAAACAATCAACTGCAAAAGTATGCTTGTCAAGCTTTCAGCATCCCTGCGTCAGGGGGGAGCACATTTGTATAAGATGAAATTGAGGCTGGATGAAGCTCAGAAGTTGAGCCCTGATGTACCTGTAATCTCTGAACAACAACATGAGGAAAAGTGTTTGTGCCAATAAGGCCAGTTTCTAGAAAACCCTCTGTTCCTCGAAGCTACCTTACCAGCCCAGTGGATGGAGAGAGGGAGTGAGGGCACACAGGCATAATGCTTTCTTAGTTGTTACCTATCTCTGACAACTAATAATATGGGTAAGGTCTGGTCACCATTCTGTACTAAATCTTCACAGAAACCCATCAGATTTGGGGTGTGTGTGTGTGTGTGTGTGTGTGTGTGTGTGTTTTAACAGAGTACTCAGGTTCAGAGAAATACAGTTAATTAGCTAGTTGGTCAAACTGAGATTCAAACTGAGTCTGTCTTATCTCAGTGCCAGTGAATTTGCATTTTATCTGAAACTGATTTTAAAATTACCTGTGGGTTGCAAAGTCAAGATGAAGAATAGATCAGGACTGACTCTATGTCTTTAATGACAATGAGATAAAGGATATCTGCAGTGTATAGAAGCTGGTGTGAAGGCTTTGGAGATCTAGGATAAAGATTAAAGAAAGCAACTTTTCTTTAAGGGTTCTAAATCAGCAATATGAATAGGTGGCTGCTAGGCAGTGATCAAGAGTTCCAACAAAATCAGAACATTGGTGAGAAAAGGAGGAGAGGAATTCCATCCCTTAGTGTTAGCATCACCTATTCCAGTGTTCCTCTGTTTGGGTAGAAAAAGCACTGGAGACCAAGCACAGTGGCACACTCCTGTAATTCCAGCAGTGCAAGAACATGACAAGTTCAAGACCAGCTCAGGAAACTTAGAAAAACCCTGTCCCAAAATAAAATATAAAAAGGGCTAGGAATGTAACTCAGTAGTAAAGCAGCCCTGTGTTCAATCCATAGTACCAAGACAAGACAAAAATAAAAAGCACTGGAGTATGAAAGGAGCAAACATTAGCCCAACTGACAATTAACTTTGAAAAAGTTATCAAGGGCACCTCTAAGAGTGTGAAAAGTTATATCCATTTCATTCCCATTTTTACTATATTCGTATATGAATACACCATAGTGAAACTCCACATCATATACAACCACAAGAATGGGATCCTAATTAGAATAAGTTAACTCCATGTATATATAATATGTCAAAATACACTCTACTGTCATGTATATCTTAAAAAGAACAAATAAAAAATTTTAAAAAGCAAAAAAGAATGTGACACAGAGAATTACTAAGGAAAAGGCAGACACCTAATTTTAAAATGGGCAAAATATTTGAATGGACACTTCCCAAAGTGACTAACAAGATGGTCAATGAGTATATGAAAAGATGTTCAGCATCAGTAGTCATCAAAGAAATGCAAATGTGAACCATAATTGAAATTGCTCCACATCCACCAGAAATGCTAAGATGGAAAAGACAGTTTAGTTAAAAAGCCCTGGTGAGGACCTGGAGCAACTGAGTCTCTCAGTCACTTCTGAAAGGAATTGTCAGTTAATTAACAAAACAAAACAATTTGGAAAAAAAACATTCAAAATTTACAAATATGGATGAACACATGTGTAACAAATGGCCCAGTATCATTTCTACTCCTAAGAGTATAACCAACAGAAGTAGATGGGAGATAGATAGATAAGAGACAAAACCTGGAAATGAACAAAGATCTCAATAACAACAGAATGAGCAAATAAGTTGTAGAAGGTTCACATAATGGAATACTGTACAGCAATGAGAATGAGCATTTATCGCCACACATAACATGACAGATGAATCTCACAAACAGAATCTTGAGCAAAAGGAGGTAGACACCAAGGACTTCATATTACATGATGCTATTTACATGAAGTTCAAGAATAGGAAGAATCAAACTATGCTGTTGGAAGTCAGTCAGTCTAGCATTGACTTTGCAGAGGTGGGAGGGAGTGACTGGAAGGAGTACCTGTGGTTCCTGGGGAGAGGGCAGTGTTTCATTTCTTCACTTGGCTGCTAGCTACATAGTGTATCGAGATCTTGAAAATTCATCAATTTGTCCCCTTATTATATATGTACTCTTCTGTATGTCTAGTATATTTTAATGTACTATGTTTTTTAAATCTTACATATACAGGTGTTAATCCTTAATTTTTTACTCCTGCTGTGGCCATATAAATATAAATCAACTTATATATTTGCATAGGTATAAAATAGGAATTTGGTGTCATGTTATGTCCTACATTGTGAGAGAAATGTTCATTTTTTTCTTAATAATGCTTCATTGGCTTCAATTTGTCTGGATTCGACAAGGTAAGAAGGGAAGGAAATGGTGAATTCCATCAACAGAGCAGTTTTTTCTGTTTAACATTCATTCTGCCAAAGCAGATAGGGCAGTTTCTGACCAGATTATAGAGTCCTTTGTAGCCTGGGAGCTTATAATAAAACTTATCTTTTTATTATTATTTTTATACTTTCCAGAATAAAAGCATAAGAAAAATGACTGAAATTTCAATACCAGGTTAAAACTAATTCTGAACCTTCACTTTTGGGAAAATAAAGTGAAAGCTTCCACAAGAAGCCCTCTTTTCACATGGGCAGTCTTCATTTGCAATAGGAACTGAAAAAAGACAGTATAGAATGTTTAGAGAACCTTAGCAGTCATCTCAGAGCTATTTTACAAAATGTTCTGGTAGTGTGTAGGTTGAGTTTTCAAATTCTCATCTCAACACAAAAGTAAAGAAGAGGAGCGAAAGAACAAACTTGTATTCTAAAAAACAAAAATTGCAGAACACCATATGGCACAGAGTCTGATACATGATATGAGACAGTATTAAAAATCAGGTTCCACCACTGACCCAAGATTGCAATGTCTGTCTAAAGTCACATGGTTGGTGGCAAACTGATGAAAGACCCACCATCTTTAACCTTTCAGCCTCTTTCTCGTTTCCCCATGATAGAGATTCCAAATAATAACTTAATGATAGCCCAAAGATCCTAGGTTTAATATTAACACAGCTCTTGTAAAATATGTATTTCAGCTTGCTGCCCTTGAATTCCCCCCAAAGAAACTATTTGGAAACAAAGATGAACGTGTGATTGCTGAGAGGCGAAGTCACTTAGAGGTAAGAGAATTAAGCATTTTTTTCCTCTCTGTGTGTAGAAAATTTGCCTTCTGATTGGTAGGAATTATTCCTGTTAAACAGTTTTGTTTTTGTTCACGCTTATGAAGGTGCTGCTTTGTTAACACAGGAGATGGCAGCAATCGATTATAAAGCCACTATTATCAGTTTATTTGAAATACAAGTCCTTATCCCTCTCTGGTCTAGCAGAACATTTTTTCTGATTTTTAAAAGATACATTTGTACTGAGAGTAGGAAAGCAGGATGTTAGTGAGAACTAAATATTCACCATAGACAGATGGTATGTAATATAGGATGAGGTGCAAAGCTTGCTGCAGAAAACTTGGAATTAATTAACTGAAGATTTATAGTATTGCATCATTGTTACTTTTTCAAGACAGTTGGAAGCAAAAAAATGCATTCCTATTTTAGTTATAGTTAGGCTTCTTTGGACTTATTATAACTTAATCTTTCAAGCCAACTACATATAAGAACTCAATTTAACACAACTGTTGTTTTTCTGACTGCCTTACTGCCAATACACATTGTTGATTTCTTCATTTAATTTGTTTTTTGGGGGGACATAATTGCTTATTTGGCTGGAATCTGAGTTTTTGTGCCAAGGCATGGACCAACTGTTTTCACTGAGATATGGTCACAGATAGTCCTCAATTATTGGTCACTCCCTGGCCATTGTGCTGTTTAAGCAGATAGGAGACAAAAGTACAAATATCTTACAAAAATTTTGTGTCTGCATGCTTTCAGGGGGCCTCTCAAAGTTCCCTTCACTACTACTTTAAGAGGAATCTAAGACCTACAGTGTTAGAAATGAAATCAACAAGTAAGGGTTTGCAAGAGCCCTTTCTGAATTGTGAAGTGCTACATAGAAATTAGGTTGATTCTTCTAATGACACCTGGGTAAAAATGGTTGACTATGGTTTCCACTACTGTCAGTGTACCAAAGGATTAGGAAAATATCTAGAAGCTGGAGGTTCCAGTGAGGGGAAAATAAGGCACTTGGAAAAGTTGAAGACTGATAATCATCTGTCCTTAGGGGACATTCCAGGATTTTGAGACCCACAATACAGAACTGATCTAAGGAAGTACAAGTTTCAGAGTATGACCATGCTTATAGGCATTTGAGTAAGACTGTGGAGTTATACATTTGAAGAGACCTCAAAACTTCAGAACTGAGTTTTGGAAGTTTTACACACTTCTAAGAATCATCATCAGAAAGGGCTGTTGCAAACCCTTCCTTGTGTTAATCAGCTTCCCATTACTATAAGATAATACTTGAGATAATAGATATAAAAAGAAGAAAGGTTCATTTTGGCTCACAGTTTTAGAGGCTTCAGTCCGTTGTCAGTTGGCCCTGTTGTAAAGTGGTGCATGATGGAGGGAACACATGGTAAAGAAAGGTGTTTACCTCATGGCAAAGAGAGAAGTGGGAAAGGGCCCTGGTCTCAGTAGTCCCTTCAAGAGCACTCCCCCAATGACCAACTTCCTCTTATTAGACTCCACTTCTTAAAGGTTCTGCTACCTCCCCATAGTCCAAACTGGACACGAAGTCTTTAAAATATAGGCATTAGGGGCTGAGGCTGGGGCTCAGTGGTAGAGCTCTCGCCTAGCATGTGCGGGGCACTGGGTTCAATCCTCAGCACCACATAAAATAAATAAATAAAATAAAATAAAGGTATTGTGTTCAATTACAACTAAAAAATTAAAAATAATAATATATAGGCACTTATCCAAATGATAGTACTGCAAAAGTACTAACAATCCCCTCTGGTCACCTGTGACTGTTACTTACTTGCAGTGTTATCCTGTATAGAAAGAATTCCACACCTAAAGAGAAGTGCATTTCACCTAATATTGAATGTTAATCTTAGAACATTATCTTCTTTTCAAGAAGCAAGCATAATTCATCTTCACTTTAATGGAAAATTAATCTGAGATTCTTGCATTAATTTCCTATAACTATTGTGACTTTTCTTTTGATCTTCTAGTATCAGAAGTCACTGCTTGACTTAGGGTATTTTTATGTGAAAACTAACATAGCTGTTTTCCCTGAACTTCTTATATAACTTACCACACATTTAGTTAATTCTTAATATATTCTGGAGACAAGGCGAGATATTTTTAAAGAATACAAATATAACAGAAACATTTTTTCCCTCTAAAACCATGCTTAAATTCCTATATGGTATTTTGTCTGGAGGTATAATATAAACTCATGTAGAAAGGTGAATCTGAGTAGGACTCATCTGCAGGAGCTAATATACATGATGTTTACTTAAAAGGAATTATCTGAAATATTATTAAAGTCCAGAAGTAAAACTTTATAAGCCTTGTCACCCTCACGGATCTGTGTAAAGTGGTGTTTTAAGCAAGTATTTAATTGTGTTTTGATCTTCCTTGTTATTAAAATAATTCCAAGATTTGGACCTTATGTTTTGAGTTTATCAGAAAAAAGGTATGAAATGTTGCCACATTAAGTGTAAAGACACTATACTGACCCTTTTCAAATGATAAATGTTAAATCTGTTAAAATAATTATTTTCTAAAATGATGGTCAGGACCAAAAATCTATATCATAAGACGCTTTAGAGACTAATTTTCTTGCATCGTAGAGAGGAATATTAGTAGTGTGTCTAGTGGTAATGGTGATGGTGCAGAGGCCCAGAAGTGAGACATTTAACATATAGTACCATCAAAAGTAGGGATGGGAATGTGCTGATGGTAAGTGGAGGAACATAAATTTGATCTCTTATTGATAAACTTGTATTAGCTACTCCCACAAATAGTATCTGGCCAACAATTTTTGGAGCCTGTTTTTGCAGAATCCATCCTGTAATTGCTCTATCTATCATATTCAAATGCTTCCGAGGACTTTTGTTCAAAAAGAGTCATGGAATCTTTGAAGATTTCTAGCTTGCATGGACCTCAGATTGCTTTCTTGGCCAATTCAGGGTGACTGTGCACTTTGAGGGCAGACCCTGTCTTCAGACATTGGAGGATTATGCTCACACCACATGTGCTGTGCTTCCCAGGCTTGCACATTCCTTCTGTCCCTGGCTATCGTCCAGGGCACATGTCAGCAGACAAAGCAGTGTAGGTAACAGGGACCTAACACACTCAGTCTCTGCCTGATAGGTTATTTTGATCTGTATTTGAAGGTAGATACAATAACTGTTTAGCTGAATGTTAAGAAACTGCAATTGCTATAGTTCAGAAATGGTGAAATATCAGCAATTTTATATATATATATCTGTATAATACTTGCTTTCTCATACTTATTCGGTATTTACTAAGGGCAAAGCATGAGTGAAAATACTTATAATATCAGGCCATTTACCTCTCACAAGCAGATGATGAGGTAGAGTTCTGTCCACTTTACAGGTGAGGAAGTTGTGTCTTAGAGAAGATAAAGGTCCCATAGCTAGTATGTGGCAAAGCCTTAGCTCACAATCAAGTGTGTTCTAGAACAAGTCCCTTCTCTTGACTAATCTCCTGTAAGTGTTAAATGGGTTGGATCTTTCTGTTTAAAAAAAGTCATCGCTTTTGCAGAAACCCCACCTTTTAAGATTATCACCACAATGTTAATTAAGCTCCACTGCCATTCCATTCAGTCTGCCCAAATTAGCCTCCAAATTAATGAGGGTTTGTTGTTGTTGTTGTTTTGTTTTGTTTTATTTTTGTTCATTGATGAGAGGTGCATTTTGGGTTACTAATTTCAGAGAACATTATCTACTTGAAAACATTCTACTAATCATCCTAATAGTCTGTCATTTTAGGGAATAACTGTAATTAAGGAAAACATATGAAATCCTCTAAAACCATAAAGCTTTCCAGAATAATCCATTTACCTTTGGAAGTAAAAACCTGAAAAATGTCTAGGAAGTTTATTTTCAAAGTACAAGAGCAGACAACAGCCCAAAGCCACCTCTTTTTTCTTTCCCATTTTCACCTCATTTGCTGAAGCACTGTTAGATAGGCCAGAAGTAATGTGATAGCTAAGAGTGTGAGCCTGGGAGCAGATTCCTAGTCTTCAGTCCTGGTTCTGCTCCTTTGAAGGATTTGGTCATGGTGGAGCTATTGTACAATGTGAAAAAAAAAAAAAAATGAGAGGCATAGCATCATATGAAAAGGACACAATTCCTCCAGATTTGCATGGCTTCAACAATTTCCAGGTTCAACAGTGGTGTACAGCTAGTTTTCTTTGCATATCTACAAGGTTATTGATTGCAAGGCTACCTTCTGTGGAATCCCCAGATGACCTAGTGTATCCCCTGGGCTTCTGCATGTGAAGAAAATAGATAAATGTCAATGCTTTTCAGTCAAAGACCTCCAGGAATATACTTATTTTTAAAATAATGTTAGATTTATCGACTTCCTGCAACAAAGGAAAATAAAATAAGTGGAGGAACATAAATTTGATCTCTTATTGATGAATTTGTATTAGCTACTCCCACAAATAGTATCTGGTCAACAATTTTTGGAGCCTGTTTTTGCAGAATCCATTCTGTAATTGCTCTATCATATTCAAATGCTTCCTAGGACTTTTGTTCATAAAGAGTCATGGAATCTTTGAAGATTTCTAGGGGGACCATAGGAACCATAGGTGCATCTCAGTAAAAAACTGTTAAAAAGTTGCAGGAGGATTTGAGTGTGTCCTAGGTGATTTGGTACATTATGCAAGAAAGTAGGCCTTTGCTCTGGATTGAATGCTGGGGTCATTCTGTGATTAGTATATTAATAATTCTTACTTGGGAAGCAGGAACAGGGTAAGGTTTTAAATATGACAAAAAGTGGTACTTATCCTTATTAGCATGGACAAAGATATGTTTGATTATATTCATGATCTGTACAATATTTGTGTTTTTGTCTATATTCAGGCATGTCTGTGGAATGGGATTATTGGTATTCTTCAGATGTTTTTATGGTCCATGGAAGTCTCAGTAGTTCAAATGCTTTATTTGCTAAATATAGGTATTAGAAATGGC